GTCGACCCTTGGACTGGAGGCATCGACCATTGGACTGGAGGCGCCGGACTGGGCGGAGCCTCGTGGACAGGCTGGAGCGGAGCCTCCCGGACGGGCTGGAGCGGAGCCTCCCGGGCAGGCTAGACCGGAGCCTCCCGGACGGGCTGGACCGCTCCCGGACGGGCTGGACCGGAGCCTCTTGGAAGGGCTGGACCGGAGCCTCTTGGAAGAGCGGGACCGGAGCCTCTTGGAAGAGCTGGACCGGAGCCTCTTGGAAGAGCTGGACCGGAGCCTCTTGGACAGGCTGGACCGGAGCCTCTTGGAAGGGCTCGACCGGAGCCTCTTGGAAGGGCTGGACCGGAGCCTCTAGGAAAGGCTGGACCGGAGCCTCTTGGAAAGGCTGGACCGCTAATATTCATGTTTGGAAAATGCGCTACAAATAGAGTAACTTCCGGGTCACAAGCCAAACAGCGCAGTCGACCAATCAGTGATGTTTCCTGTTGCTGACTGGTACCTACCCTTTCCTGTTTCTTAATTTCATTGTTTTTGTCCTATTTAGTTTGTGTTATGTTTAATTTGTTTGTGTTTTTCTTAATTTCTTTGTGTTATTCTTCATTTGTATGTGTCTCTATTATTTTTGTGTTTTTCTTACATTTTTGTGTTTTTCTTAATTTGTATGTGTTATTCTTAATATTTTAGTGTATTTCCAATTTTTTTCGTGTTATTCTTAATTTGTTTGTGTGATTCTTTTTTGTATGTGTGCTTAGTGATTTATTGGTGTGATTTGCACTTCAGGGCCACCGTACTGACCCCTACATCACATTGGAAGTATCAGTGGCGTGGAATGTCGCGACAATTTTCAGGTGAGTCTCAGAAGTGGCTCGCTGCACCACATCGCTAGAGACGGTATCGGGTTCTAGTTTGGCCACAAACTGCTTCTGGGACATGTAAATTTCCACACATAGAGCTGGACAGGTAACCACACACAGTTTCAGTGTAGCATGTCTGGTAATTTTCAAAATAAAAGTCTATTGAAGTGATGCAATTTCATATTTATGTAGATTACATCAGTACAAGTGACCTAACAGCTTGTTTACTACCAGCATCGTTTGAAAAATGCAGCGGTGTGGTTTTCATTGCTTTAATCCTGGCAGTGGAGAGGAACATCGTACATGACATCAAACAGTGATATCAAACATGATTTTCTTCTTTTTGGTTAAATGGTGGATGGCATTAACAAACCAGAAAACCACTTCATGACCGAGATCCAACCCGGTTTGCGATGCTGTTGCTTCCAGTGTGAATTAAGGGTAAGACTACCTGATGGTTTTAAGGGGGGGACTTGCACACGACCAAGGACGAGGACCAAAAGCTGTGAATCAATCATTCAAGTCCTTTAACTGAGTGGTGCTCCATCGTTCTTCTTTGTTGTCTTCCTCTTGTCCAACAAGGATGGTAACAGTAGCTCAAGCTAACCTTAGCAGTAGTTTGGGCTAGCATTAGCAATAGCTCACATTGTTCTGCTGTTATCATTACTGTGACCAACGTTTACATGTTACTGACACTGATGTGGGTTGGGACATGGAAATGTAAGGAGGTGTGTCTAAGCTTAGGATGTGTTAAATCTGATTTTTATACAATTAATCATTTCTCATTGGCCATTTCAACATTATTAATGTATAGAGCTACGGGAGTTGACGTCACTTCTCCCGGCATGCAATAGTTCAAATCGAAACGGCGCCATCTTGGCAGGCAGAAGCCCGCAGCTGGACTATTTGTTATTGTCAGAAAACTCAACCAAACGGGAAATATGGTAGATTCCTGTTGTGCCCCAGGATGCAGAACAGACACGGACGACATAAGGGATGAGCCATCCACAGGATTCTCCAAGATCCGGAGCGCCGCAAACGTTGAATCATTGTAATAAAACGCGCTAGTGACTGGGCTAAAATGAAGCTGTGTGATCCCGAGAGTAAAGGTTTTCTCTTATACAGCAACCACTTCATATCAGGTACTTAAACCAACGTTTCCTCAACTGTGTATGGTATTTATTTTAAATGCTTTTATTACGATTCTTAGTGGGCTTCCTAAACTTATTTTGGCATGGCTTTTTCTGTCTTATTACTCATAGCAACAAGTAAACGTCACGTAAAACGTTGCCTCGTGAGTTCTGCGTGCTGCCGTTTACGTGTTTTATAATCACAGCAATTAACCGGCTAAGCTATATTTAATTTTTAAGCAATGGTTGATCACTTGTCAGATCACACATAAAAGCACTTTGGATTGCTATTATCTGTCTCACCGTGACAGATCTCAGACAGATCCTGAGATGCTCCTGCCTGACATATTTACTTTATTCACGAAAAAAAATCAAACTAGTGATTTCTCTTGGCGTTCAGTTTATACTTTCAAACAGCACAGCACTCTATTTAAACTGTTCATCCATCCATTTTCATCCGCTTATCCGCAGTCGGGTTACGGGGGCAGTAGCATCGAGAGGCCCAGACTTCCCTCTCCCCAGCCACTTGGACCAGCTCCTCCGGGGAAATCCCAAGGCGTTCCCTGGCCAGGTCCGGTAATAATTCCTCTCCGATAGCTTCTGGCGTTTTTGAAAAGTATCCCAGGGGCACGGTAAGGGTCGGAGATGTTTAGTCTATTTAATTTCTGACTATATAAAACGATTTCTTCGGTTTTAAAGTGTGAAGTAAACTCCGACGAAGTAAAATCCAAGCCGATCCCGTTCATGTTCATGTTCACGATCCGTGTTTGTTTACCTTTTTTTCCTGCCAATATGGCGTCTACTAACTGAGAGTCACATGGGGTCTGGAGCTCTATGGGAAAGCAGGCCAACAATGGCACAGCCTTTTTGGTATGCTACATTAGACACTCCAGACTGCCTATACTCAACAACAACAACAAGGTAAAATGTAGTTACAATTTTTGGACAGCTGCAGGTTTAATTATTCATGATATAGGCTAAAATTCAAACGGCTGCATAAGAAGAAAAGACAACTGTAAAATACAAAACTATTAGCCCAAAACTGGACAAAAAGAAGACCAGAAATAAAACTAAGATTCAGTATAGCATAATTGTCTGGTTCTCAACACAAGAAATGTGTCTGAATATGAATTGAGGGAACTAATGACAACTGAACAGCAGGTGAGTGACAATCATGCGAACAAAGGCCAGGTGCAACAAGAGCATGGAACTGACTAGTAATCAAGGGGGACAAGAGGAATATGTCAGTCTACAGTTTCTAAATCTGGAATTTTTTTAAGGCTTGATGTATTTTATGTATTAATTTATGTTTTGCCAAATATAAATTAAAGGGTTTCCTCTAAATTTTGACAGGGCTATCTGGGAATGAAAGAGAATTAAGTTGCGAAAATAGACAAAACAATGAAAAAATAGTTGAATTACAAACTTCATAGTACAAGGTAGAGAAAATCAGACATTAACAACATTGACATATGTAGATTACATTCAAAGAAGATGATAGAGGTGTGAGTAAAGCAGTGAAAACAATGTTTTTTTTCTCACAGAGCAGATAGTTAGGTAAGGATCAAAATGGGTTTAGGGTCACAGTTTTACATGAATCTATTTTACGTGTTTTTATTAAATGTAGAAAAAAGAAAGAGAAGAAACATGTAGAAAAGACAGTAAATTAATTTATTTTACAAAAAATATTTTTAAAGATGCACTGTCAAAATGGTCAGACGGTATTATACGTAAAACATTGGTAAGGATTTTTGTTTTTGGTAAGGTTCTGTCGAGCATGTGGCAGTAATGCAGCTTTCAGTCGGTTTGTTGACTGAAACAAAAGGTCAACATAACAAGGAGAAGAACAACCGCATTACATCATCACACCAGTGAATTAGATAACTATTGTGAATGTTACAAAGAAAAGATTTTCAGGAAATTTGATCAGATTTTTCATTTATTCCCAGTAATTATCATTTGTTATTTATGGTATTTTCTCATATAGTTTTACACAACTGTATAAATATATCTAGTAGGAGATGTCCTGATCTGATCTAAGTATTGGATTGTTCCCATCACGGCCTTTTTCATTGACTGCATTGGAGTGGCTCCCGATCTCTATTGTTGACCTACTTTCTGTGTTCCATGTCAGCCATGTTGTAACCTCAGGGTCAGAGGAAAGAACCTCTTCCATCCAATAATATCACTTCATTAGGAAGCAGGCTCATAGAGACCAAATTTCAATAAGCACCATGTTTAAAATCTCTGAATTGTTAACCTTCATTCCACATAATTCAAGATAACAAACTCAATTCAAATAAGAAGTCAAATCAACAGTGATTTATTGGTGTATGAGTTTTTTTTCCCCCAGTCTTTATCTGTTAGGCTGTATAAGAAAAATGCGTGACGCAATATTGTAAACAAATGCGAGGATGATATCAGTTATAACAAACCCTAATTTTTCATCACTCCATTAATTTAGTGCAGTTGTCATAACCACAGCACTCTTGCATTTATTTAGTCTGTTGTTTATTGCTGTAACTTCGCATAATGACATTTTTGTATGTTTATCGTGAAGGATTTCAGAGCACAAATTCAAATCTTGGCTTGTCAAAGTGACAAGAAACCCCACCTTCCTGACTCAGTTCATCTTTAGTTTATTGTATCTAATCAGCCACGTAGTTTACAAAATAGATTAATTGATCCTAGAATTGAATCTACAGGTTTATCTGGACTGATAATGTCGGCCTGAACCATCCAGCCTACGTTAGAGAGTCGGCTGGACAGCAAGGGTAAGAACACTTTCATCCCATCGATGTGTGGTCAGCAAAGACAAGCCCGATGATGTGTGAATGCCTTGGAAACAAGCTTCCTCCAACAAGTAAATATGTCAACATGTCAGTGACTGAGTACGAAGTCTGATTCGTGAGATAACAGGTCATCCGTGCCACCTTTAACCCAGTTTTCTGTCCCGCTATCTTCCTCCTGCCTGTGTGGAAATTGGATCTTTCATGCAGAACTATCAAAAAAGGCACCATACTTTGGGGTCAAAGTGGCTCTTTAATTATTAAAGATCAAAAACATCAAAACAGAGTTCTGATTTTTATCTCTCACCTAATCTAAACAATTCCTTACAAGCAAAATAAACTTTTACTTTCTAAAATGACCTAAATCGGAAGGATACAACTCCATTCGCTCATTTTGAGATGGATTAGAAAACTAATTCACACTGAAGTCTTATCAAAGACAGTTGAAAAAAAAAACATGACTGATTCTCGTGATTTCTGTATAAGATTAAAACTCACATTTTAATAAAAAAACTGTAAGAAAAACAAGAAAAGACCCAAAGGTTGAATATCTAATAAAACAGGAAGGATCAAAGTTTAATTCCCCTGTGTGTGTAAACATCAGTTCCTGACAGTACATCTAGTAAGACAGATTTATGTGGGTCTCTTTTCTTTATGTGTGTTACATGTCATCAGCATGTGGCCGTAGCCCGGCAGAGCGGTGGGGATTCAGAGTCACGGTGGCTATGTGACCGGTAATTGGGTCTACATGGAAATGACTGCTGCCATCCTCCTGACTGCTGTTCAGAGACACGGACTCCAAACTGGTCTGCTCTTGTTTTACTGCCAGCTCCACCATCAGCCTAGTAAAATCCTCCAATCCCTGCTCTCCGGGGGAATGCTGGTGCAGAGGCTCCGACTCATCCTCGGGGTAGAACTGGGAGTCGAAGGCATGCAGCACGCGGGAAGCCTGGAGGTTCTGCAGGGACCGTGACTGAACTGAGGGAGAAGACAGTGAACAGAGTTAAGCCTTTTTGGGCACTGAATGGAGCTCAGCTATTATTACACCTTCCTCAGCTTGGACCCTGCCACACAAGCATGAGTGTGTGTGTTTGCATGTGGAACCTAATCCTGAACACATCAAAGGCTTTAAAACTTCTTAAAACTTGTATAGCCCCTGTCTAACACACCACATCCCCGCTGTTTAAGGGACTTTTTCTTTTCCAAAGGGACACAGAAATCAGGCAGGAAAATCAAGGTTGATCATTTGAGATTCTCGTCTTTTTCAATGGTCTATCAGGTTTGAGACACGAGAGACTACGAGCTCTTAAAACAGAGATCTCTTATTGCCTTCATTCATCCTAACCCCAGGCTATAGACACAACTTACACAAAAGCGAGTGCTGCCAACTCCTCAGAGAGGAAAACAAAACGTGGCTGTTCTAAAAGTTACTAGAAGTCCCTGATTGATGTCTTTATCTAATTTTCAGGAATGACCGTGTGAATGTAACTAATGCTGTAACACTGATTAATAAAACATAATTTTTTTGTTTTAGTATAATTTTCCTTATAGTCTCGGTCTGGTTCTCTCTGAGCTCAGTAATGTCTTGGTCTCAGATAAAGTGGTTTTGACTACGACACTAGTAAAATCACCAGAGTCACCAGTAACACCAGAAAATGTCATGAGCCCGGGGGCGAGTACTCGTCTCTCTACATGAGCTCTCTGAGTTGTGTCTTGCAGGAAAAGGAGCAGCAGCTGCACCTGATCAGCTAATCAGCGGGTTGGCTTCTTAAGGAGGAAGGTGACACTATTCGACGCCGGATGATTGCTACTGACTGGTAGTTTCCAACGCTCGTACTTGGCTGTTGGTTTTTTGTAAACATTATTACTTGTACCTTTTCCTGGGACCTTTGTGACTTTACGTCTCTTGGATCTCCGACCTCAGGTTCTCCTCGTCTCTGGATTATTCCCTCACCATGTTCAATAGGACTCTGCTGTTCTCACATGCCACATCATCCATTCACTTCTGACCAACCCGCTCTCCAACGACTACCCGCTCCCTCTCCAGCTCTAGAACCGCTCGCCTGGATACCCCCCAGCTCATTACCCATCCCCTCACTCGCTGAACTAATTTTACCCCATTAAATCCCCTCACTCTATCTGTTGGACTCAGGCCTAGTCCACACGTAGCCGGGTTTTTTTTTAAAACGAATATCCGCCCCTCCAAAAACTTGCATCCACACCACCTCGTTTAAAAAAAAACTGTCCACACGTACCCGGATAAATACGTTGTTAAGGACATGCCAGACCTGTAGGCGGCAGTACTTCCCCCGTTCTTAACCTCGTCCTTCGTCTGTGGTCTTCCACAAGGAGCAGTAATTCCGCTTGCAAAAACAAACAAGCAAAAAGCGCTTGGACAATTGATAAAGCGAGCGCAGCTCTGAGAGCATCCATGCTGTCGGCTAGTGTAAACACAGGTCGCACACGTGATGTCAGCATTTTTTTGTCGCGAAAAGTGACGTTGCGGACCTTAAAACTACGGTTATGTCCGTCCACACGCAGACACCCAAAACGGAGAAAACGCAGATCTTCACTTTGGCCGGAGTTTTTAAAAAGATCCGTTTTCTTGTGAAAAAACTCAGTTTTCGTGTGGATGACAGGCCAAAACGTAGAAAAATATCTACGCTTTGGCAGATCCCCGGCTACGTGTGGACAGGGCCTAAAAGTTCTCAGGACTCACCTCTAATCTGCTCTCCCCTCCAGACGTTGCATTTCCCGTTTCCCCTGTCCACTGGAATTCCCAGTGCGTCCTCGGTTACCGTTATCCCCACATATTTTTTTTTATTTTTCATTGTACCATCTCCTGGGTCTATTCTGCATGTCTTGGGTTAGACACCTTCCTCAGAATATGACAGAAAATACTATTTTTTATGAAAACATTTCTGAAATCTCACTAAAAGTTGAACATGGAACATAAACACCAAAGCTACATCTAGTGGGTAGACATTGTAGTGGCAACAAGAGAACAAGGTTTCCAGCCATCGGGATACCAGGTCCATCTGTTTGTAGGCTTCACCTAAACCAACTCTGGTTTTAATCTTTTATGGTCACTCCTGAGTAGGATAACGTCATCTTCTGGGCTCAGCAGCAGCTGCTTGACTTGCCAAGTCCGCAATTTTCCACAGTGCCACAGTTTAGCAACCCACAATGGTGCCCTCTATTGGCTGGTAGTTGTAAATATAAACCCAGTGTTGTGCCCGTCAAAATAAATATTTCATTTATTTAAAATTCAAATGTAGATTTTACAGGAAACACTGTACCTTCATTCTGCACACCTCTAAATGATCTGTGGAGGTATTTAAATATAGCTTTTTAGTAAACTGTTCCATATTCAACCTTTAAATACAACGCTGACACATTTTACTATTTATTTCTAATTTATTTTTGCCCACTTAAGGCCATGAAAACCCTACTTTCTAAATGTGTGAATCCTTCTTAATGTTCCATGCTGTAGTTATTTTTAAGAACACACGTAAGACCTTCTTAATGTGTCTGAGCCCGTTTGTGATCATGGCTTGTGGCACATAAAACACACACTAAAAAGAAACAAAAAGACCAGTATGAAAATATATTTTTGAAAAAATTGAAAATGAAAAAATTGGGTTTCAATACACTTGATATTAAGATGATGATGAAAATTTTATCTAGCCTAGAAATCTAGTTTAAGCCCAAGTCCCAATTGTCCAAACTGTCCAAAATTGATGTAAAAGCCATTTCAAGTGAGCTGTTTCCGTCTTGTTCCACTCCTTTGCCTCTTCCTGCCCACCAAACCAATAAAGTGCCTTGATTGGCCCACAAAGCCAATAGAGCGCTGTAATTGGCCTTCCATTGTGGACTGATAACAGTGCTAGAGAACTGTGATTGGTCCACCAGAATGCTGCTAGGAGGCTCCAATGGATCGTTCCTAGACCAAACTTTGTGAAGCAAGAGTTTGGTCTAGTTCACTTGGCTGGCTGTCTACGCTCCAATGTAGCCTCAGCAGGTCTACCATTGGCCTGAACAGCTTTAGGTCTGTTCAATCACAGTGCAGTCTGTAGAGACATTGGGCAGGCTTAGCACCAGAGCTGGGATGGATAAATTACAAAGATGGTGTCAGCTCAGGAGAGATCATTTAAAACAGCTTTGCCATCAACTTTGGGCGATTTAGATTTGAGTTTTTTTTTTTTTGAGACATGAGCAAATAGAGGTACTCAAGTCTTTAATTTGGAAAAATAATCTATTTGCTTTTTCTTCTTGTTCTTCTTCAATGGTGTAAGTTGGACTTGCTTGTTGAGTTATTTCCATAGCGATGAATACACCACAGTGTTTGCTACTAGGATTGGTCCTAGCGCTGTCCAATTGCACGCAGACACCGTTTTAAAGACAACCGTAGATTCTGCCCCTACCTCTGTCTTTAGGGTGTGGCCAGTTTATATATTTACACATATAGGATGACTTGCCAGTCTAAATTTTATCACTAGTTATTTCAGAGAAATTTCCCTTCTTAATTCTTTGGCCTAATTCCCAGACATATGAAACTGGCTGCAAGGCTCTGTGGATAAAATCCTTTGCAGCATCAACTGATCCTTCATTTCTAACCATTTTTGCTGCTGTGACAGAAATGTGCTGGATTACTTTGCACACAGCCCCACTGAGCTACGGCCGTGGAAGGTTACTCACTTCTGACTGGACTGAAGTCTCCTTGGCTGACCTCAGTGTCCGAGAAAGGCTTGAGACTGGGAAACAGGATTAGGGAGAAGGACAGCAGGAGCACCTAGAGCATAACATGAAGGTAACATTGTGTTAAACAAAAAGAATCTGCGTTTCCTTGCTTTTGACAATAAAAAGAAAGTATTTTTGCAGCTATTGCCAACAAATAAATTGCTCTTTCTTTGTGGTTGATGCAGCTTTTTTCAAAAATAAAAAATAAAATCTTTTTTCCAGCCTATATCATCCTTACCAGTACACATGTTCCAGTCTGAACTGGCTTGTTTGATGAATTCATAACCATAGCTTGCAGCCTGCGCAGCTGCTCCATTAGTGACCTGCAGAGAGGAATGAAAAAGATAACAGGGAGGGATAACGAGGATATGTGAGAAGAAAAAGAAAAATCTAATTGGCAAAGGTAGCTTCTGAAAAGATCATTACACATTACTACACCATCAGAAGATAAAGGAATGACTGGAACAGTTCAGTTCTATCAAGACACTCACATGTTGCATTTTTCCAGCTGGGACACTTTTCTCTGCAGCTCTTGGTTGTGAGTGTTGCAGGCAGCCATCCTTAAAAGAGGACGACACTACAGGATTAGTAAAAGATGAGATCCCCAAGAAGAATTAGAAAAACAAATAATCACAATATTTCTTCATCTTTGAATCAAAAAGGGAATAAAAAATTCATTTAGGTAATTTTCAGTATTCAGCCACTTATTGACAAACTGTTCCAGGATAACTAATTGCAGCATAATTTTGGGTCTACCATCCGTCCTAAATTAATTTTACAGATGTTGACGCTTAGAATAATTTTTCAAAAGTATGAAAACAACAGTTTACTCAACCCTCAGGACATCATTCAGCTTTTATATAATTACATGCAGTCTTTTTTATTTGATTGGGGTAATGGGGGTTTTAATGTATTGTAAACGAAGCATAGAAAAAAATATTGATATTGAGATAATACTACTACTACTACTACTACTACTACTACTACTACTACTACTACTACTAATAATAATAATAATAATAATGGTGTATACTAATGTTTTACCTTTTATTAGGATATTCATATACTGTAGTTAGTTTAGTTATTCAGTGCATGTTTCTATAAGATGAAGGGACTAAAATATGATTGACCAAGTTGTTGACCTGCCAGTTAAAGACTTAAATCATTTTCTCAAAGCCTATTTTCAAACACAAGATCAGACTGATGAAAAAATTAATGCATCTTGACTTCAATTATTCAAGACTAATAATACAATCATAAATCCTGCATGACTCCAGCTGCCCTGACACTTTTACGGATTAATATGAGAAATTGTTGACGTGAATTGGCAAATGGATGATGATGATTCAGTTTGACGAAAAAATATAAGTGCTTTCACAAACCACAAAACAGTTTATTGTTAAGCATTTGATTCTAAAATAGAATTGAAATGCTCTACCCCGTTAGATCTGAGCATTTTTGTGTGATTTGTTTAATTTCCACTCTTTTCAATAGGTAGGCCATTACTGACATTTAAAAACCATTCTGTTTTTAAATATTTAATTCAAATTTAAATATAGAAAGGCTGACATATTCAACACAAATAAGTAAAAATTTTACTTAAAATATATTTTTTATTTTGTGTGCACCTTATGACAAATTTCCTTATTTTATAATAGTTCTATGGTTGGTACAAAACATGTTTGTGAAGTTGTTTGGTGAAAATCCCTCTCAAGTGATGCAATTTCAGCAGTTAAATTTGTGACAGTTTCAGTACCTTCCAGAATGAGCCGTTTCAGGGCTCTGTCTCCTTACAAGCTAGAGCTGGCCATGCCCACCCATCCCTCACTCAGGCTGCTATAAGCTGACAAGCTCCGATATCCAGGAAGGACTCAGAGTGGAGCCTCTGCTCCTACAGCAGCAGCACTCTCTTGCATGTGAGAGGCGATTCTATGCTAATTTACTTGTTTTTGGCACATAATTCCTCAAACCAAACACTGACATGGAACAGATGGATGGGTAGGTTTCCATGTCTGAAATGACCCACATGGAAGAATTAAATCATGCAAAAGGTGTGTTTTGCATAATAATTTCTGTTAAAATAAAAAACACATCAGAGATCAACAAAATAAAATATTATAGTTAAACAACAACGTCCTCTTTAGGTGAAATAAGTTCAGTTGTGCACAAGTAATAAGAAAACAAACAATTTTACAAAAATCCTGAGTCAATATGTAAAAAAGCCCTTTCTTACTACAAGAGAGAAGCTGGATTTGCCATTTCATTTTTAGTGTACCATATAAAAATCCTGAACTGCTGAACATCACATCACTCTACGCCCTGATACCTCTCCTGCTATAAGCATCCTTAAGCCCCTCTTCAGTTGATCTTGATGGTAGCTACCTGTGATTGGTCCAAACCTGCTTCCATGTTTTACAGCCTGAAAACAAGCCAACAGGAAGTGCTTTGGTTCAATACTTTTTCTCATTGCACTAAGCTTAAACGTCGTTTTGAAAGCTTTTGCCAAGTGTTACAAAGGCGTCACTGCTGTCCCAGATTTAGAATTGTTTACCAAAAAACAGAAGCAAACATGATGTGTTTGACCAGGTGGCTCACAAATGTCAGTTTAGGGTTTTTCTGTGGTTTACCAACTCACCGAGTCTCCAGCCCATCGATGTACTCCTTCTTCTTCTTCCTGCTTTCCTGGGCTGACTGCTTGTTGCGAATCTTTCTGCGAATCTTCTTCAGGATTCTCTCTTCATGCTGATCAATGGAAAAGTAAACATTTACCTTTTCAGCACTGAAATCAAAATCATTTTGCAGAGCTGAGCTACTGAGAGCAATTAACCTTCGTAAGGGGTAGCTGGTTGGGCAGGCTGACCCCCTCCTTTGCTAAAAGCTTCTTCTCATCCTCGTTAAGAATCAGTTCCTGGATGGACTTCAGGGATTGCTGCTGGGGCTGTTGGTAACATATGAACACACACACACACACACGCACACACACACACACACACACACACACACACACACACACACACACACACACACACACACACACACACACACACACACACACGCACGCACGCACGCACAAACACACACACACACACACACATTAGGGGTGGGAATTTTGCACATAATTATGGTGAATTAATTAGAAAAAAATTATGCGTTACAAATTTACATCTTTGAGCCCGAGCTAGAAAAGTTTTGCATCACAATTTATGCCCCATACATCAATACAGTAAATGTCAACTAGCTGCACCTCTAACAAGACTGCAGACAACTAAACTACAACTAAATGAATCCTGAAAAATCGCCCATCATGAAAAAGAGAAAGAAAAAATAACTTTTATACCATTATGTTTTCTAGTTGGTAGAAAGCAGGTGGGCAGTACCTTTCCATAAGAACTTTATTATTCAACTCAACTCAACTCAACTCAACTCAGCCTTTATTCATAAAGCACCTTACAGTCATGAGCATGCCACCAAGGTGCTGTACAACAAAAGAGTAAAACAATAAAACATATAGTGCCACAGACATAATTAAAACCACAAATGAGAATTACAAAATATGAAACATTTATAATTGCTAACCCACAGAATTAAAAGCCAGATAATAAAAGTAGGTTTTCAGCGTCATTAAAATAAAAAAAAAAACTGCTACTGATGGAGAGTCCCTAATAGTTAGGGGCAGTTCATTCCACAGTTTCGGATCCGAAACAGAGAGCGCCCTGTCTTAACTTTAACCTAGCCTTAGGAGCCACAAGCAGCAGCTGGTTCTCAGAGCGGAGTGACCAGGCCGGAGCATATGGCTACAGCAACTCCGCCAAATAGGCTGGAGCCACACCATTCAGCGCCTTAAACACTATTAAAATAAGTTTAAAATTAATTCTAAAATCAACAGGTAACCAGTGGAGAGCAGCCAACATTGATGCCACGTGTTCATGCTTTCTTTTGCAGTCCAAGAATCTAGCTGCAGCATTCTGGACAAGCTGCAATCGGGTAACAGTACCCTTACTTACACCAAATGAAACGGAATAGCAATAGTCGAGTCATGAGGTAATAAAAGCATGAACAACAGTCTCAAGGTCACGTCTAGATAAAAATGGCTTTACTTTAGCCAAACGTCTCAAATGGAAAAATGAAGAGGATACTACAGTACCCACATGAGCATCCATGCAGAATGCACTGTCCATCTTCACGCCAAGGTTGACTGCTAAAACACCCAGATAGGAGTTCAGTTCACCGCAGTCTACATTGGAAAAATCAAAATGTCCACTTGGTCCAAACAACAGTGCCTCTGTTTTTTTCCATTGAGACACAGGAAATTTTCTCCTCGTCGTCGTCGTCGTCTTCCTCCGCTTATCCGGGTCCGGGTCGCGGGGGCAGCATCCCACCTAGGGAGCTCCAGACCATCCTCACCCCGGCCACCTCCACCAGCTCCTCCGGCAGGACCCCAAGGCGTTCCCAGACCAGATTGGAGATGTAACCTCTCCAACGTGTCCTGGGTCGACCCGGGGGCCTCCTGCCGGCAGGACATGTCAGAAACACCTCCCCGGGGAGGCGCCCATGGGGCATCCTGACCAGATGCCCAAAGCACCTCAACTGACTCCTTTCGATCCGGAGGAGCAGCGGTTCTATTCTGAGTCCCTCCCGAATGTCTGAGCTCCTCACCCTAAGGCTGAGCCTGGCCACCCTACGGAGGAAACTCATTTCGGCCACTTGTATCCGTGATCTTGTTCTTTCAGTCATTACCCAAAGCTCATGACCATAGGTGAGGATTGGGACGTACATCGACCGGGAAATCGAGAGCCTGGCTTTCTGGCTCAGCTCCCTCTTCACCACGACAGATCGGCTCAGCTTCCACATCACTGCAGATGCCGAACCAATCTGCCTGTTGATCTCCCGATCCCTCCTACCCTCACTCGTGAACAAGACCCAGAGATACTTAAACTCCTCCACTTGAGGTAGGACGTCTCCCCCGACCCGGAGTTGGCAAGCCACCCTTTTCCGGTCAAGAACCATGGTCTCAGATTTGGAGGTGCTGATCCTCATCCCAGCTGCTTCACACTCGGCTGCGAGCATACCCAGCAAGAGCTGAAGGTCAGAGCTGGATGAAGCTAGGAGGACCACATCATCCGCAAAAAGCAGAGATGAGATTCTCCTGCCACCAAACTCGACGCACTCCACACCACGGCTGCACCTAGAAATTCTGTCCATAAAGGTAATGAACAGAACCGGTGACAAAGGGCAGCCCTGGCGGAGTCCAACCCTCACCGGGAACAGGTCCGACTTACTACCGGCTATGCGGACCAAACTCACGCTCCTCTGGTATGGAAGTTTTCTGCCAACCATATCTTAATTTCTGCCAATCAATCAAAAAAAAAGTATCGTGTGGTCACCATCTAGAAGTAAGTACAATTGGCAGTCATTGGCAAAGAGATGAAATCCAATTCCAAACTTTCGTAGAATGTCACCCAATGAGAGAATATAAATGGAAAACAGCAAGGGTCCCTGTATTGAACCCTGCGGTATCCCCCAAGGCAGATATGAGAAGCCCGATGAGAAACCACCTATCCTCACACAAACCATCCTGTCACGTAAATAAGATCTAAACCAATTTAGGGCTTGCCCAGAAATTCCTACATAATGTTCAAGGCAATGGAGCAACACTTTGTGGTCTACGGTATCGAAAGCTGCAGTGAGATCCAATAGGACCAACAGCACTGGACTGCCACCATCTGTTGCTAGAAGAATATCATTAAAGACCTTGATTAGGGCAGTTTCGGTACTATGCAACGTTTTAAAACCTGATTGGAGGGTCTCTAAAATATCAAAGTCCTTAAAGAAGTCCATTAGTTGAGTATAGAAACATTTTTCAAGCATCTTACCCCAAAAACGGAGTTTGGAGATTTGCCTATAATTCACTGGTAATGAAGCATCCATCCCAGGTTTTTTAAAAGTGGGTGAATAACTGCTTTTCTAAAATCTGTCGGTACAAAACCAGAAGCCAAACTGTAGTTGATTATGTGCAAAATCAGTGGTGCAACAGTTTGAAAAACTTCCATAAACAAACGTGGGGGTAAAATATCTTCTGGTGACCTACTAGGTTTAGCCTCTTTTAACAAACTGGTGAACTCCGCAAGTGATACTGGATGAAACGAGACCAGCTATTCCTCAAAAGACGTAGAGGAGCTTAACACACTAGATATAGGCAGGGTGTCTCACAGCATCGACACCTTGTCGATAAAAAATGGAAGAAAACTGTTACACACAGAGTCAGAGGCTGGTGAATAATTTTCCACATTCAGCACAGAGTTTATAGCTGCATACAAAACCCGTGGTTTGTTGGCATTAGCATGCACAAGGTTGGAATAATAGGCAGTCTTTGCGGATTTAACAATTTCCTGATAAGATTTCCAACTTTCTCTAAGGGCCATTAAATATACATGCAGTTTATCCTTTTTCCACTTTCTTTCACACCACCTGCATTCCCTTCTTACAGCCATGGTGCATTCAGTAGACCACACATTAGCACCATGAGTTGCCTTTTTTGGGCGAAGAGGCACAATGGTGTCCATAATGTCCTTACAGGTCTGATTAAAATAACAGAGCAGATCATCCAGCAGGAGGTATATACTCACCATTCATCTTGTAACCCTCAGCAGAACTTATCATGAACTCTACACTACACCTCTTTGTTAGTAGTGCTCTGCTACCATCTTGTATTCAGTTTTGTACACAACCTTTACAATGTTCCATGTCCATTAATGATTCACCAATAACACATGCGCTACAGCTGCTGGTCATAAAATTAAAATATCATGAAGAAGTTTATTTATTTCAGTAATTTTATTCAGTATGCATAGACAGACACACTACACACACACACACACACACACACACACACACACACACACACACACACACACACACACACACACACACACACACATATATATGTATATGTATAATTACAATTTCTGATTATGTCTTCTGTCTGCCAACTGTCTGCAACACCTAACCCTGTTTCTTTTTCCTGCTGGAGGCTCTCAGGAAGTAGTTTAATGAATGTAGACTATCAGACCACATTCATCACCCTCGTTTCATGGCCACTTCAAAGCAATTACGGTATGTGAATCTACGCTGGATTCTGCCACTCTCTCCTTCATCTTATTAAACTGGAAGATGAAATCAATACTTCGAGTGAGATGAAAACCAATGAGATTGAAATGTACCACAGTGTCATTCTGCTCCCGCAGAACTTTACTCAATGATAGCAACGTTTTCTTTGTGAGTTGGATCTTTATTCTTTAGTTTTTAATACATTAGAGAGAGAGATGTTTTCTCTAAAATAAGATTGATATTAATAGTTGAAAGGTATCCTCAATTTAATGCGGTCAAACTTAAAAAAAAATCTAAAATGAGTGAATAAATAATGGAGCTGTTCAAGAATAGGTTCAGCATCAACAGAATATTCATCTAGATCTTCTGTGAATACGCCCTCTTGTAAAATTTATCTACATTTGCTGCATATTCAACAGAACTTTCTAAAATTAGAATTTATTTGCATTCCAAAGGCCATTCCGTGGGAAAATCAAAGCACACACTCACAATCAGACACTAACAAAACTCAACAACAATGTGTCTCGAATCTGCATTGAGCCAGAAAACACTCACGAGACACAACTGCTCAACGGGGACACACTCACCAGCTCTGATGTTCCAGACAGAAGCAGATCTTTGACGGTCATTGGAAAGCCAGAAGACAGTGGGGGTCTGTGCACATCTGAAGGATACTGTGTAATTCTGGTGTTGGCCACAGGGAAGCCGAACTCCCAGCAACCTAAACACACACAGAACATTTAAACACACACTGAGCCTGCCACTTGTAAGTGGCAAATGTTGCTGAGCAAAACAAAATTTAGGATTTGAATCTTGAAAATTCACAATATGAATTATTTTGAGAAGATGAATATAAAATCAAATCATGTTTATTTGTAAAGCACATTTAAATACAACAATGTTGCCCAAAGTGCTGAACATAGACATATAAAAACATTAAAACATAAAAGCAGTCAAGTAAAAACACAATAAAACATACAAAACAATACATAAATAATCAGGCATAAGAAATTATAAAAAAAGTAGCTTTTTGAAAAATGGCAACAGATGACGCCTGCCTAATGGAGATAGGCAACATATTCCACAGAGTCGGTGCTGCCACAGAGAAAGAGCTAAAACCTCTTTTCTGTAGCCTTGCCCTAGGCACACTCAACCTATGCTGGTCAGCCTAACGCAATCCACGAGATGGGACCTACATTATGACACGAGGAGTTCAGATAAATAACTAGGAGCAAGTCCATTCTAACATTTGTAAGCTAAAACCAAAATCTTAAACTGCACACGGAACTTAACTGGGATCCGATGCAGAGAGGCAAGAACAGGAGTAATATGATCAAACCTACATGTGCCAGTCAGGAGACGAGCTGCAGCATTCTGAACCAGCTGCAGCCTAGCAATATATCCATGATTAATACCCAAGAAAAGACTATAGCAGTAGTCTAAACGAGATGTTATAAATGCATGGATAAGCTTCTCGAATTCATTCCGAGTCAAAAAGGATTTAACCTTTGCAAGCTTCCTTAGGTGAAAAAAACATAAACCCGAACCAAATGATTGACTTGAACATCAAAATTAAGCTGAGAACTAATTTTAACACCTAAATTAGAAACAACATCCTTTGCCTTATATGAAAAGCCAAGCAACAACGACTGAGTAATATTTTAAATGGCGTGTTATTACACCTCCTTCGTCCAGTTTATTACATTTTATTTGTTGACCTACATAAAATAAATCCCAGAAGGTAGTTCATATTTATTTATGGCTTTTTTTTGGTTTTATAGGGATATTTCTTTTCATTTGAAATTGTGTTTTGGTGTAAAAGTAATAGAAAATATCTTATCCTTAATGAACATTCTCAGTTAGGAGAATGCGCTCTTATGTAGGACTGATGTGCTAACGACTAGTCCAAACACGTGCAGCTATAATCTGTAATCCTAAACAGCTCCCATCTCATAAACGTCACATCAGATTTAAATTGTTATTCCACCTTGATGCAACACTACAGAAATAAATAAATTAATCAAAGCTGTCCCATTTTTAAGTGTCATTGTATTCCTTTTGCTTCCCTCTAAAACAATTCAAATTACAAAGAGATGCCCCTTGCTTCTTCCTAGTGAGTTTTAAAATCGCCATGTTTTCACAAGTTGATGGTGGTGTAAGGAATTGCTTAGACTAGCCAACAGCTCATCAATCTTGTTGAATGTAAAATAATTTATTGCAACTGAGGCAGTTAATGAAGCTCGTTTGAAGGCAGTAATAATTTAAAACATTTTCTTAGATCAAAATCACTTTGAAATGGCCGTAAATGTTAATTAAAAGATGTGAGGATGTGTGTATAATAAAAAAATGGAGTTGAAATATTTCTCAAATGTCATTAACTTCTTTCAAAGCAAACATGACAATCAGAGGGATGACATCATGCCACAGAGAAAAACAAATCTCAGACTAAACTAAAGCTGCACGCTTGCTTCTCATTTGGGGAAAAGAACAAAACAAAAGTTTATTTTCTGTACACATTTTATAACTGATTTGTGAACTGTTTGTTTGAAGGGAATACATTTTAATGAGAGGCTTTTGGACATTAATTCTAATTTAATCATGTCTGTAAAGGCAGTAATAAAATAAGTCCATTATTAATAAAATTAATAACCGACTGTGACATATTTTTTCATCACGTCTTTTTCTGGAGTTTTGTGTCTTACTGGAATTGACGGTGACATTGGCCTCCAGGGCTGCCTTGGTTTGTGGTCCTGTACTGAAGCAGGGAGTGTATGGGGGACTCTCGGGACGCTGAGGACTGTCCATCTGGTCCGATGGCGTGCCGTCACTTATCCCGCTGTCACTGGGAGACGGAGACCACAACGGCGAGGCAGACACTGAGTCACCCCCGCTCAGAAGAGCATTGAGAAATTCATCGCCTGCCTGCTCAGCTGGCTGGAGCATCTGCTGGGTGAAAAGTCGACATGCTGTCATTACTCCACCACCGTGACATTATGAGAGAAACGTGATGGAAGTGTATTTGGATGGAAATCAGGTTCCTGCTGAAAAATGTGAGCTCATTAGAGATGCAACAGCCTCACAAACATTTGGCTCCTGAAATGGCCAGATGTGATGGTTGCCGTGATCTCCTGTGTCCTCATGACGAAGAATCCCATCGTTTTTATCAAACAGCCAGTCGAGCAGCTCGTTGCAGTCACAACCCTGGAATTAAAGATTCATTATCAGATTTTTTTTATTTAACTTTATCCTGACTTTTTGTTGGAACATTTTAACGCAATCCTCTCTGAAGATATGATCACTAATTTGTGAAAGGAGTGTATTTTTCACTAAATCACATTCCTAATGCTTACAGACTAAATGGTGATCTAAAATAGATATTTCAATGCAGTTTTTTGATTTTAAAAGGCATTTTCTGCTTTTATTATCAAGCCTGAACTTTGCTCCCTGGGACTTTCCAGTTTCCTCTCCAGTAGTAATTTGGTCTGAAGAATAAAACTCACCGGTTCTGAGTAGAACTCCATAGTTTTCCTGTTTGGGTGAACCGCCCCAAAGAACTGAGATCCAGATAAAATATCCAGCCTTATTTCTGCTGCTTTTCCGTTCCTGTGAAACTCTTCTCTCTCTCTTTGTAAGGATCCTCTACTGTATTCCTCAGCTCCTTCGCACAAAGGTCCAAAGTTGAAACTCCAACACAACACACCCAGCTGACTTGCTTACGCTGTTGTTATTGGCCAAATTAGAAGATAGCAGTAATCTAATAGGCACCAAAGAAAAGGCCACTCCTTAACCTCATCAGCTGGTCCATATGGAGCCAGAAGACATGAAGTCTCCGGGGAAAAGAGAAGATTCGCCAGAAAGAGCAAAGTCTGGGACTTCCCTTTTTGTGATAGAATATTGACGTACGGATAGCTCTGACCTTTGACATGTATTCATTACAAAATAAACATGGAGAGACAAGGTTTATTTTAAAGCCAGTCCACACAAGCCTCCGCAATTGCTTGTAAGGGTTTATTAGATTTTGATCCCTTAGGACTAAATGGAGAGAGATGGTTAGCTGTGGTGACCCCTGAAGGGAAAAGATGAATAAAAAGAAGAATATTAGCTTTTGTTTTTGTTTATAGCTGCAGATCTGAGGCAGTAACTGAAAGGAAATGATATGAGGTTATACTTCCTTTGTAGCTTCACTGTATTTGGGTTTATGAGGTTTATTTTTATCATATAAATATAATTTGTTGTTTTCCTGTTTACAATTGACACAAAGCAACCATTTTATCATCATTCTACAAGAAAGTTGCATGAATCCCAGCATCCAGAGTCCGAAATAACAACAAACCTCCAGAATATTTTTAGTTTAGTCCGTGGTGTCCTGATAAATAAAGGCTGGCGTGAGCCGTGTTGCTTTTAGAGACTCTGAACCACATTATTTTATTAATTTGTTCCCTGTTCTCTCACTGCCGTGCATGTCCTCAAACTCTTCTCACACACACACACACACACACACACACACACACACACACACACGCACGCACGCACGCACGCACGCACGCACGCACGCACGCACACACACACACACACACGTTCGCTGCTCTATCCTCCCATTGAGCAGCTGTTTTGGGTTGTGCACAAATCTGCTCACTGAAGATCTGTGGTTTTACTTACCATAAAATGAACATTAAAGCAAAAACAAAATGTATTGGACTTCATCTTGTCCACTCAAAAAATAAAAAAAATAGTTTTTTAAGCCTTACTATAGTAGACATAAATCCTTCTAAAAGCTCCAATCACCTGTGCTGGTGGACCCATATTCTTTCATATTTTTGTTTTTGTAGTCAATACCCACACAAAATCCCTTTCAGAACCATAAATGACCCATGGGCCATACAATAGACACCTTTGCCCCAAATCTCTGACTTACCTGATGCATAAACCAATAAGCACCTGTAATCCTGATTACATCAGTCACTGATGTCATGCTGGTCTTTGGGATATAATAATTTAACAGATGTGGCGATATGTATCTGCTACTGTGAATTGGCTCATAAAAAACTTTAGGACGGGCAAGCAATTTTCCTCTAAAATATATTTACAGTAAAAGTCTGCTGTAAAAAAAGACCAGAGTGCTGCAGAAACAATGGTTGTCAAAGGCTGTTTGAATCTTTTGTCATGCCACAATTTCATAAAGATTCATGACACAATCATTATTGCTTTGTTATCTGATGGTGATAGCTCCAAAGGGCAACAAATCTTTTCAAATTGCATTTGAAAACTAAAACTTTGTAGAAATCTGCAAAAGTCTGAGAGTAAAATAAAAAGCAGCTCTTGGTTTAAATAGCACAGAGTTTCAGCTTTGTCCTTTTCATCTTTTTGTTTGTTTCTAGGTCGTCAATTAAAAATAAATCGTAGGTTCTCAAATTGTGGTTACAATATACTGATGTAGCGGAATGAAATGACTGTTTCCCAATTTCCTTGGGAAGCATTTATCGATCTTGGAAAAGGGGAACTACAGGCAAGTGTTAGGAAACCCCTGACATTCATTCCACCTTCTGACCCCGACTCTCACTGCCTTGCGGTTGGTGACCCTGAGCATGGGGAAACTGCGTGCTCACTGTCGAGCTCAGTCTCCATCAGAGATCCCCTCTGATGTTTTCTCTCAAATTGAACAGGTCATGGACCAAGCAGTTGCTCTTACCAACGATGTCGAGTGAGAGAAGCTTGGACAACTTTTTTTTGTAATTCAAAGACTCTCTTTCACTCGACTCCTTGGACTGTGGTCTAACCACTATCCATGAAGTCAGGATTCCTACACTGCCACACGCTGCGCCTACTTTTGTGCATCAGTACAAGACTCTCCTGGCATCCCATGGACTAGTCCAGGAAATCATTGAAAGCCTCTTGGCGAAAGGCATCGTCCGGCCTTGTAACAGCACCTACTCGGCTCCCTTGTGGCCAGTAAAGAAACCTAATGGTAAGTGGCGACTGACCATTAACTACAGGCAACTCAAAAAACAGGTTCCCTTGTCTAGGTGGCCGATGGCCCGCTTGGAACAAGAACTCCCAAAAGTGAAAGACGCTAAATGCTTCTCCACCCTTGACATTGCGTCTGGATTCTGGACAATTCCTGTCCATAAATCTGACCAATATAAGCTAGCCTTTTCCTTTGCTAACCGCTAGTACACCTTCACTCGGTGCCCTTTTGGTTACTCCAACTCACCAGCTGAGTTCAACATCTTCTTGGACAAAGCCTGCCCTGATGCTCGAGAGTGAGGTACCCTCATCAATGTTGACGACATTCTTGTTCGTAAGCATAACTTGAATGACCACCTGTCCGAGCTGGACCACGTCATGGGTCAGCTCGCAGCTGCTGGCGTAAAGTTTCTTTCGCCAAAGGTCAGTGGTGCAGGTCAAAGGTTTAGTTTGTTGGCCTCCTTGTGGGACCACAGGGAGTGCAGCCTCAACTTGGCAGAATTCAAGGTGTGGCCACCATCACACCTCCTACGAATGTCTCCGAACTTCAGAGTTTTCTAGGGGTGTGCAACTACTCGCGCCAATTCGTAGAACACTACGCTGAGATAGCAAGACCTCTGACTAACCTACTGAAGAAGGGTGTGCCTTTCGAGTGGACTGAGCAGCACCAACAGGCCATGGATGATCTGAAGGCCCGTTATGCTCAGCTCCGTGCTTGGCGCTCCCCGATTTTGACAAGGAGTTCCAACTTGAGGTCGGTTTTTCATCTCACTGTTTGAGAGCCGGTCTCTACCAAGTATATGACTGCGACAGGCGTGTCATAGTCTATGCTAGCAAGCTCTTGTCCGGTCCTGAGTTAAAGTACTCTTGCTGTGAAAAAGCTTTGCTTTCCACCATGTGGGCGGTTAAACACTTTTATAGCTACATCGGTGGACAGAAAATCATCATTGAAACTCAGCATCAGCCAGTGTCCTTCCTTAACAATAAGCGCATCAGAGATGGTGTGGTGACCAACGTGCAAATCGCATCATGGCTGCTGGCTCTTCAAAGCTTCGATGTTGAAGTACGCCACGCCCAGAACCGCTGTAGCCCTCTTGGCATGGGGTTGGCTGTGTGCCAACACTGCTCGGACGATGCCGTCACGTCAGTCCTGCCAACTAGCCCTCCTCAGACTCTTCTAAACCCCAACCACCACTACTTTGACCAGTCTCTCTGTGTGAACTTGCCGACCGTGTACGTTGATGGCAATTCTTTTCGACACGGTGATGTCCCTAGGTCAGGCATGGGTGTTGTCTGGCTGCAAGCTGACCAGAAGGACTCCCGGTGTTACTGGTTGGGTCCTAAGACCTCACAGTTTGCAGAAGTGGCTGGGATATTGATAGTACTACAACTTGCTGTGGACCGTGGAGTCGGTGAGCTGGTGATTTGCACCGACTCGGACTACGCGTGCCTCAGTTTAATTTGTCATCTACCTTCTTGGAAGAGTAACGGGTTCCTGACCTCAAACCGGAAGCCCGTTAAACATCAGGACCTCTTCATGGCTTGTGATGCCCTAGCGACGTCACATGACATGCACATCTATTGGCGTACAGTCAAAAGGCATTCTCGTGCACCCGGAACTGACAAGGATCTGAATGACCTTGCAGACTCTCTTGCCAAACAAGGTGTGGCCGATGGTACCCTATGGGTCTTCAATCCCTTGTGGCTCCCTGAGGATGTGTCTTCTCGGTCTGACCCACCCCGTGTGTTTGTCGTGACCCGAGCTCAGGCCGCTAACGTGTCCACCTCCAAACCATCTGAGGGTGTTGTGTCCATTCAACCTGTCTTTTCTGGTAACAATCTTGTCAGTCTTCAGTCCCAGGACCCTGCTATAAGCAGGATGATCTTTACCTTTCTGATCCTACAACTCATCTGCCTTCTTCCGTCGAGCTTGACTCTGTTTCTGAGCTCCGTGCTCTCTTTCATGTTCGTGTCACGCTGAGAATGGTTGAAGGGTTTCTGATGCACGCCTCCAAGCCTCCTTTGCCACCTGTCCTTGAGGCGCCACAGTCACTCATTGGGGGGGGGGGGGGGGGGGGGGGGCATGATCACGCAAGCTCATGACTCTCCCTCCATTGGACACAAAGGTGTCAAGGCCACATTCGGTGCCCTGAGCCAGGTTGCTTATTGGCCGGGGATGTGTCGCGACTTCTCAGACTACGTCCAGCGTTGTTTGGTTTGTTGTCAGTTTCAACCATCCAACCCCACACACAGAGCTCCCCTACAGAGAAAGGGGTCGTCCACACCGTGGTCGGACTTGCAATTCGATTGGGTGGGGCCTCTGACCAGGTCCAGCAGGGGTAATAAATACATCTTGACCGTGACCTGTGCATTCACCAAGTGGGTTGAATGTCTACCAGCACCTAATGACATGGCACAAACAACAGCTATTCTCTTGATGAATCACATCTTCGCCCGGTTCGGTCTTTCCACTTGGGTTGACTCGGATAGGGGAACTCACTTCACCTCTGAAGTGATGGCACATCTTTGGCGACTGTTGGGTGTGAAGGCCAATTTCCACATTAGCCCTCGCCCCCAGTCTTCTGGCCAGGTCAAAAGGATGAACCGGATGGTTATCAGCATGTTGAGGAAGTACGTGTCTTCTAATCACCGAGACTGGGATGTGAAGCTTCCGTTGGTCCTCATGGCCATACGGACCATCCCTCATGAGTCTACAGGCGTCTCCCCATTTGAAATGATGGCGGGTAGACAGATGACTGTACCGCTTCACCTGCTGTACCAGCCAGTTCAGTCCGAGCCCAACCTGGCTTACACGAGCGAACAATATTTGCAGGACCTGAAGAACCATCTGCCTG